CGTCGACGTAGAAGTAGGAGACGACTCGATTGCTGAGTAATCCGAGTCTGAGCGGATTGGTAGGCTCCATCTTCGAAAAGTAAACGGCTACCAAACACATACCCGCTATACCCGATATCATCTCCTGTCAGTTCGATTTACACTTCTGGATGGCTGGGGCTAGGAGAAAGGGGAGTGTGGCCGATCCTGCATGACCTCGGATAGACTCTTTATCTGTAAAGTTACCGTAAAAGTCGTTTATTGGCATCTTCAAAGCTGAAAGTCAGCGTATAGTGCAGTCTTTTGGCTACAGTAGTAGATGAAAGGTTTATACGAATTAAATTACGCTGCTTGCGAAGCGGAGAACCGGCACCTGCATGTGGCAGCCGAAGACGAGGGTTTCATTTCTAAATCTGTTGGTGTGCCTGCGTTCCTTTCCAGTGTTTATTGTGGCCTTATCGTGTTATCAGAACGACATGATTGTGAAGGTGACTTAAGTCTGCACTGCTCAATCGCTCCCTCTCACTAACATTTAAATCACTTATATTTCTTCTAACTCTACAGACAGTCCTGCTTCTTGTCAACTTGTACGGAATTACTATCTTCTCGAAAAAAACCGTTTGCTCTTCCAATCTCCTGTTAATGCGGTGGCTGCCGGAATGAGCCGGAATCAGTTTTTGATCCATGCAAAATATAGCAGACAGTGGTTTTTTAAGTTCGTAACGGTTACCCATTATATCGGTATGGTTGTCAATAGGCCTGTTTTAGTCTACGGTATATTCCATTTGAGTAATTATGTACACCCATTTTAGTATGACTACTTTCTAAGCCTCGTCGCGCAGTCTAGGGGGTCCCTCCCAATGCTCCCTCTATGTGCTAATTTCGACTGAATTGTTCATCTCTGAATATTTTTTAGGTGATTTCGCCGTCCTCCTCCACGCTGGGATGTCGGTGAAAGCTGCCCTCTTCTATAATACCCTTTCCAGCATCCTCTGTTCGGCCGGCATGGTACTGGGAGTTCTCCTGGGCAGCGTCCCCTCTGTAAACTCCTGGCTCTTCCTCCTTACCGCGGGCATGTTTGTGTACATCGCCCTTGTGGACATGGTATGTTCTCCTGCTCAGGTTTTTGTGCTCGAGTCAATGACAACAGCCCAGCGAGAAACTTTTTGAGGCGAAACTTATCTTCAATCGTGCTTTTTTAACTATCCCGCTCCTCTGCAAAAATTGGGCATGCGATCAGAATCCTCGAATTCGCAAAATTCACACGTTAGCAACGACTAGGCTATGGTATACATATCTGTTTCGTAAAAACTGGCAGGCAGGCATCCCACATTGTACATT